CCATAAACTGGGTTTATGTGTGTTTAGGAGGGGCCAAAAGGATAGAGCAGCCATCAGATAATAGGCCATTCTGAGCTGTGTGCAGGTGCATCGTAACTCAGAATCAAGAAGCTAAGAACGGTATTTACTTTCTGTTAGAACTGCAGCAGCAGGCAGACATCAGCATCTATTGAAATGTGTCCACCTCATTACCTTTGTCTGTCCCTCTGGGGTCTCCTTTTTCATTTTGTAGGCAGAATAAAAAACCCGAATTATCTCCCGTGAAACAGAGCCGGGACAGAAGTGAACATGGAGGAAACCGGCGACAGGAGGAGAAACAAACTGGGATGAACATCATGTGGGGTGAACGGCAAACAGAAGAGTCATAGCCTTAATGAAAATACAAAATGAACCACTCACCAAAGACCTCAGATGAAGGCGCCAGATTCTACATCCCAAATATAACAACTGAGCAGGTGAGGAGCAAACAGACTTATGAAGTGAAACCTCAAATCCATCGAGACACTGAAGAGAGATAATAATAAAGATGTTAATGGCTCATACATGGTCGTCCATTGAGATGGCACATATTATCCAGCAGTTTGATGTGAATAAACCTTATTTTTTCTTGCACCTGAATTTTTAGAATAAGGTTTTTAGAATAAGTCTTTACAAATGTTCAAGTACTAAATCCCAGCTACCTCAAACACCATCATAGGTATTACTAGAAAACTCATTAAAAATCAGATCAAACTTTTGTCTCATAAACCTCAAATAGAGCCGTTTAAAGTCTTAATTCTGGAGTATGTTACTTATAATAATAAATAATGTCCAAAAGAAAGTAAATGTCTAAAGCTGAGGGGGAAAAAAAGATTTAAAAAAAAAGAATTTAGAGCGGAAAAACAGTTTTCGGACTTAGAAAGAAAAAGAAAAGTGTTTTATCTTGAAATAGCAGAAACAAAAGCATTTTAACAGAGTGTCTTATTGAAAAAGCTTTTACCATTTTTATCCAACAGAAAAAATTTAGCTGAAATCTAATGCCTGTAAAGGGCACGTGTCTGCAGTAAGAAGGCGAAATAAGGTAGGCTTTGAGTGGATTATGATTAACAGAAGAGAGGGTATCACCTCTCTGGATGATATGAAGTGCAATCATATTTACTCTTCTCTCTTTCAGCAGATCGCTGCCATTTGTCTGGAGGCTGGAGGCTTAATGTCCTTTAATATCCACCCGGCGCCACAACTTTCTCACGGTTCTCTCAGCCGCCAGGGCTCATCAATACGACCGCCTGTCTGGATGTTTCTACATTATCTGCTGGCGCTCAGACTTCTACGAGGCCTCTGACTTTTCTCTTTAGCCAGACCTAAAGGGAGAGGATAGAGAATCTGATAACCCAACCATCTTAAAGGAAAAAAATGAATAAATCTATATTTTTCATACAGTTTAGATCCCATTTTCACATAGGTGATCATTTTCGATTTCACAGTGGTGGCATACAGTTATGGTTCTCTGTACAAGAACAGCACAGAAAGTATAAAAAACAAATTGCTACAAAATTATCTTAACCAATCCGAAAGATGGAAAAAAGGGGAAAAAGCCAAAACAGTTTCCCCACGTCTTCTTACGTGGTAAAAGAGAATCGAGAACGTTGTAAGGTTTACAGTCACATGAATCACTGCTGCTCTCTGTGTGTCAGCACCAAGCTTTGCCAACGGAACAGGACTTTATCGACTATTCTGTTGGTTCAACACCTTCCCAAATAAGGTTTGCAGCTCAGTACACGAGCACTTTAAAAGTGGAGTAAATTATAATTCATTCCGCCAATTTCTGACTCTGTTTTGCGACCGGCTGCTGTTTGAGTGCCGCTGGTGTTTCAGCATCTCAGGAAAAGACGACAAGTGCTGCGTTTGCAAGCAGGCCTGAGCAAAACCACACTCAGAGGCACTATTATACCAAACTGCAATGAAGAGACAGTACATTCTGCCCCTAGAAAAGATGCAAAACAACCAAAGAAGGGAGTCAAATTAAAACAAACCTATGCATAAAAGTATTAAACTATATCATAATGAGAAAATATGTAGTCAATGACAACTGAGCTTTGAAATTACTATCTTCATCTTACATAAGTTTTCTGTTTTCTGTCTTTAAAACTCATCCCAGCCATCAAATATAAACGATACATGATAGTTGAAATGGAAGAGATAGCCAAGGCCCACATGGTTGGTGGGAAATGTTTAACAATTTGATCTACTCCACTGGCAGCTGAAGAGCTGCATTAGTGAAACTGAATTACTCCCTATTGTGTGACTCATTACAACAAACAAAGGACGACGTATCAAGAGGAAGGGAGAGTGAAAGAGGGTCATTCACAGCATTAAGGGAGTGGAGCAGGTGGCCTCAGCCTTCTTTGTGGTCTTTTGAGCAAATCTGAGAGTTTTCTGCTGGCAGGTGTGATGTCTAAACTCAAGTGTTTGCAAACCGTCACACGTTTTGTTGGCTCAAAGGTGTCTTTTTAGGTTTAAAGCACCATATATCTCGCTCATAAATTTAACATAACATTATTTGGTTGGATTTTCATTTTATTATTGTTATTTAGCGAATTTAGAAATTACTCCGAATTGTTCAATTTTTAGTTCTAAAATTAGAGAATTACAGATTACATGTTCAATGTAGGAGGGTAAAAGGCTAATTTATGGTTTTAAATGTAATTTCTTTTTCATTATTTGGAATTTTTACCTTGTTATTCCTATTGTGTGATAAAAACACACCCAGTTCAAAACAAAGAAAGAACAAATTAACTGGCAGAAAATAAATCTAAAAAAGGGGGCATGCCCTGAAAAATAGGAACATCTTCGTCATGATCTCTTCATCCAAAAAATGTTTTGTGTGTGAAAATACAAAAAAAAAAGTCATCTGGAGACGAGTAAAACATCTATTGTAGGTGTATGTAATAGATTCTTTTTCACAAAGTGAGAGACTGCAGCTGAGACCAACCTGATCTCTCTAAAACAGCTGGATCCACATTTGTCTGGGAGGGGAAGTTGCTCTGCTGGCCGGTCCAGTGCAGTATATTCAGTGGCTCGATGCTTATCGGATTGCTTGCCCATTCCCACAGCTCCTGCAGGTCAAGTGACAGATACGTGTAGCTCCCGGCCGCTAAGTGGAGTATCGATCCATCAGCTGAGCCTGTGGGCTGATGGGATGTTCCACAGTCAGAACCAGAACCGAGCAGAGCGCTACAGAGTCCCAAAGAAAAAAAAAACATAAAAAAATAAAAAACACAGGGCTTTTCTCCAAAGATGAAAATCAAACCCTGACTGGGTCTTCCCCATGTGCTGTCTTTTTCATTTTATTTAAGAAATTATACAATGCAGATTTATTCATGCATTCATTTATTTTTCATTTCATAAAATTTCATTTGGTTTAATAGTTTTAACCAAATGTTTTTAACCTGCACTTTAGGATCAAACCCATGCACAAACATATAGAGCCCTATGTTTAGCCTTTGCATGCATTCATAAATCAGTGTAAATCAATTTAGCATCTGATGTGACCCGAATACATGTTTTGTTCCAGTGACCCCTTCCCCAAGATTAAGCACTCTTAAAGCCAGATTTGTCATCCCAGCAAACCAAATCCCAGTTCTTAAGAGCCCTCATAAAATACTACAAGAGTTAACATTCGAGTCACACAATCCCTGTCACACATCTCCAGATGCTAGCGCTGGACATCAAGTCATTCAAGAGGAAACTGTAAATCAAGTCATTTAGCTCTACAAAATGTGTTAATGACATTAATAATTTTTTTTAACCAAACAATTTTAAGAAACTTCATGTTTTAAACTAATCCTTGCAGTAACACTGGTCCCAAAGTAAGTGGCAGAGCAGAAGTGAATAAAGAAACTAAACACACTGACTTGTTCAGGAGGGGAGTGTGAATGTTCAAATCCAAATGTTCACAGAAGAAACACGAGAAAGTCAGGGATGCATGTACTACAGATAAATCATAGGCAAATAAACCAAGCAATCAAAAACCCTGAACTACAATACAGGCATCAGGGAAAAGACAAGAGCTCAAATAACAACAGACTGGGATCACACATTTACCAGATAATGAAAACCTGCAAGAAGAGCAGTGCTGGGAGGGCCTACTCAATAAACAACGACTTCCTGATCACAGGTGCTGAGTAATTGACTGAAAAAACACAGGTGTTGGAACACAGGCAGGAAGTAACTGTGCCGTTAAAAAAAGGCAGAGCATTTCAAAGTGAAACAGGAAGTCCAGATTCATAATCCCAGTTTTAAAGAGAATTATTCAGTTAAAATATGTGCACAGAAAGAAAGATGCTGCCATGTGAGACTCTGAAAGACTTGAAAACTTGAGATGAACCTGCCTGAGATGAGCTGTCGAATTGACAACATTCAGAAATGAAGAGAAAAAAGCAGCTGTGTTTAAATTAATTTATTTCTTTGTGCACACATACATATTCTCATATTCTCTGCCAAAAGATCAATTATATACAAAAACTGTACATTTGTCAAACAGTGAACTGCCCCAAACGCACAAGGATAAATACATTCATATATAATCTTCAAAAGAAATTTATACAAGTGAAAATTGGCACATTTGAGAGACAGGCTTTATCATTAGTTTTGCATAATGTTTCCTATTTGTCTACTGAAACAGGCACATTTTGCAAGTGCTACATTATTAATCCCTTTCAATATAGTTCACCAGGGATCCAGCCCCTTTAGTCAGTCAAGATTTGTTCCCCTAAGAAATTATCATACCATTAAAAATAGCTACAGTAAACCCATAAAGCCCACATTTAATTCAACTTCGATTCAAGAGGAAAACAGAGGTAAACGTAACACACACTTTAGTGCAAGTAGAAAAGCGAGAAACTCCATTTTAAAAAGACTGCAGAGGGATTTCTTTCAAATGTAAAAAAAAGGTCAAACAGAACCATCAAAAAAAATGATCGTACCAAATTTAATGATCTACAGTGACATCTACTGGTTGTTTAACAGCATACATGGAACAACCTCACATATAAAAAAATATTTTGTCTCTTCATTAATCTTTCTCTTTGGTTACTGTTAAGACTGAAGGGTTTCATTTATCATTCTTCATTCCTCATGACTTTGTTTTATGTTGATAAATATCTTCTGCTCAGGAAATGCTTCTGTTTTGTCCTAATTTCCTTCTAAATTTCCCCCACCTCAGTTTCTCTTCTCATCTCCTGGTAGGAAGTAGGGATTCTCATGACCTTGGACCAGGTATGAGTAACGTGATGTATTTTTCCCCTTGAAGGTCTTCATATCTTCTGGGTTCAGATCATATGATGCGGACTGAAAAGTCAGCAAAAGGAGAAATCTGAAAATTCAGAAAGCAGCGCCTTTGCACTTTCCATGCAAACATCCCCCAAAAAATCAAAAAGCAGAAGTAATTAAGCCCATCCACCAGAGTGGACTGCTAACTATTCAAAACTACCATCACATGACTTTCGTTGAACTGTCAGTCAGAATTAAAATGAAGATGGAAGCAGACAGCTTTCCTAAACAGCCACGTTAGATTTTTTTTTGTTTCCAAAACAGCCACGTTAGATTTTTTTTTTGTTTCCAAAACAGCAACGTTAGATTTTCTCATGAAGTTTCCCATTACCTGGAAACACCGTCACCATCATTATATCACAGGCTATCCTATGATCAGCAGGGACAATCACGTCAAAGCAAAGCCACGCCTTACCTTTCTCCATCCTTTCTGCTTCAGCAGAGACCCCTAAAGCAACACACTGTGAGTCAGGCAGAGCAGGGAGCATGGGAGGCCACTACCGCTAGCACCCTATTTCAATTCTGGACGATTGGATTAAACCTATCACCATGTGCAGGACATATTTATTGTACGTGATCTCAGGAATCATGGGGGTGGCTATTTGTCCTACAGACAAGTAGGACTTACCAACAAAAACCGAAGGGGGAACACAAAGGGACCTCGAAGCTGAAGCTCAGCGGGTGATCATAATCAGAAAGATTTGTGAGAAAACAAAGAACAAATGGGATAACTCACTAAGCCGTTGCTGTAACGCTTTTTGTCCACCAGGGTGTGAGTGCTGCCCCCCTCTGCCATCTCGATGGAGGGGGCTGCATCCCAGTTGCTGCTGGCCCGCGGGATGGGGGTGATGGCAGTAGGCCAAGGCTTGCTAGAGTCCTCTGATGAGTACGGACTGGTGTTATCGCCGGACTTGCTCTCTGAACATTTCCTCCTGACAACCAGAGAATACATGTGTGAGCGTCTGGGAGCAGGACTCATTATATCGTTTATTCTTTTTACATTGGGCAAAAGATGGGTTGCCAGTGGTTTGCAAGAGAGAAACAAGAGTGAAACAAAAAGCAGAAAAAAGGTGTTATCATGAAACCCTGGAGTGACATGCAGTGCATGTATAGCGGGTAATAGTTTGTTATTTGAGTTGTATTTTGTATTTTTGTTTGATTAAACCTGAAACAATAAAAGCCTAAAGAAAAAAAATCTTAAACAACAGATACTAATGATAATTATATGAAAAATATACATAACGATACATAAAACCTCTGCATATTTTTAATCAGTAAATATAAATAACAGTATATTATCTCATTACTGTTCATTTTTAATTTTTTAAAAACAAAAAATAGCATGACAGAGCAGAAACCAGCCTTCACTGCAGGTAAGAATATCATATTTCAGGTGGAAAGGCATCGAATATCTGGGTGGTATTTCCATAATAACACATATTACAAATACTATGCCTGCTGTTTTTCATTTGCACCTAAATGTCAGGCCATCAAGCACTAATACCCCAAACTATATTTACATGGGTGTGCATCTAATTTACATCTGCAGCGCTGTGCATACGTAAAAAGGGGAACGTAGTAACGTAAAAAGGAAAACTAATTCGTAGTGGGTCAAAAAAGGATGTTCAATATCCTCACCAGCACCAATAAATGAGAAAAGCCAGGATCAGGATGAGTAGAATTCCTCCAAGTACGCAGGACACGATTACCAATGCCAGCAGAGAGGCTGTAAAATACAGTCAAACTCATATTTAGAGTCGTGTACAGAACATAAGGTACTGCAGCATCACTTTTATTACTGAAATCGTAAATGACTTACAGTCATTGCAGTTGAAGCCGGCGTACCCAAATGAACATCTGAAACAACACGCATCCTTGTCAGCCTTACCAGCTATGTGCTTGTGAATTTGAATTCTTAATCCTCTCAGGGGCGTCAGTACCTTGACAGCAACATGCAAAGCAGACACAAACCCGCTCTCAACAAAGTTTAGAAATGTTTGTACTCACGGTTGGCACTCTTCACCCACTTTTCTCTGCCCACTCGGACAGGCTACAAAAAGAAGGACAACAACACAAGGTTTTAAACAAAGAGGCAGAAATGAGACCATAACAAGCTACGCTTTTCGACTCCACGCTTGGCTGCACATTCAGCGAACAATGACTATCACAAACAAGCACACAACGGCGCATTCTGCTTTTCCTGAAATATGAACCGCGCACGGCATTTTTTTAAGCTTATTCTTTAATAGTTGCTCCTACAGCTGATCTCCTTGGTCACAAACTGCACACAGAGGCAAGGCAGTGATTCCTCCACATGTTTCCACGGTAACACCCCAGTGAAAAAGAAATACATTAAAGAGATAAATGAAGATAGGGTCAGGGGTCAATGTGGAGAAAAAGCGACAGCTCTTGACCTTGTCTGTGAGTCCCACTCCCTGTTGCTTCCCTCCCTCGGTCCCACACACAAACATTTCAGCAGGAGTAAGAGGGTTTTGTTACAGTGCTCTTGACTGTAGAAAAAGTCCCCTTAGTTTATTTTAAGACGCTGCATGTCGTCCGCTCTAACAGTCTCCACATTAGACTTTAATCAATTATAATGCCATGTAAGCATTAGTATTTTAAAGTCAAATGACATGATAGACATGGAAAAACATGTTACCTCTGCAGCTGGTGTTTGAGTACACGTCAGAGACGTAGCCGTCTTTACAGGAGCAGACCGGCTGGCCATTTATATTCTTGCACGAAGTAGTGGACACTTGACAAGGTTCAGGAGTCTGCTCACACAGATTCGTAACTGTGGAACAGTGAACATACAAAAAAATAGATTATAGTAAAGGCTTATGTGTTTTTCTCTTAATAATGTGCGGCTAGTCCTTACTTGTGAATGTTGCGTCACTCAGCACACCCGTTGAATTGGATAAGGCCTTTTTAATGATCTCATCGACAGACTGTTCGGTTTCAGTGGTGTCTTGAAAGATGTTATTCACTGTTGCAACCACGCTTCCGGGTCTGACGAGTTATAGAAAAGCACAGCAGAGCTGAGACACATTTCTAAAGGGGGGGCACAGTGTCCTGGTGTAGCAGCATTATAAACAATACTCACTTAAGTTCAACCACATCAGTCTGTAGATACCCTGGCACATTTTTCAGGGCTTCTCTGAGCTATGAAACAGGACATACATGATTAAATGAGCAACAATGGAGGGAGTAAAACAAGTGCTCAAAATGCCCCATGACCTCACGGCTTACAGGCTCGGAGATGATGGCTGCTGTTTCCTGAAATGCTCTTGAGGACCTGTCGCTCATCTCATTTGTAAAATTCAAAGAGGTGACGTGAAGGCTGCCTGGGAACACTTGACCTGGGCAAAGAGATGATCAAGAGAATAATCTCAACATTGCCACATCTGTAACATCTATAGTCTTGATATGGACATGTTTTGGGTCCTCACCAGATTCACAACGTCCGTTCAGTAAGTAGCGACCGGTGAGGCACTGGCATGTCCCGTTAAGACATACACTTTCAGGAGGACATGGGATTGCAGGACATACTGAAACAAGGGGGAAGAAAAACACCATCAAATAAAGCATAAAACAAAAGTGCATTGAGTTCAATATTCCAGCCTTATATTCACACACTTTTTGGTTTCAATATACAGAAAATTTAACTGTCAAGCTGACAGAGGTTTTCATGAAGTTTTAAAAATGGTGCGTTTCAAAGGTATGAGAGGAAGAAAAGCAAATTTTACAATTCCATAAGAGAACAGCCTTGTTGTCATAATGGGGGAGGCCATCCTGCAAAATGTTTAAGAGGCTGGAGAGTACAGATATTTTTCCCCTATTTTTCTTTCAGTGATCACTTCAGATTGGCAATGTTTTAATAATTGACTATTTCCCCTTCTCTTTAGTATGTAATTATCTTGAGTGTGTTTCAGGGTAATTCGTAGATATCATAATATATCCTGATAGGGTTAGCAGAAATGAAACAGAAAAGCACAAACCTATGACTGGACTGGGAGTGGATGGGGCCGCAGTGATGGAGCTGCTGCTGGTTGCTGGTGGTGTTGGCTGAAGGGTGGTGACATTAATCGTAGTACGAGCAGTGTCATCGGAGGTTAGACTGGTTGCAGCAGTAGGTGAATGAGTTTCTGTTGTCTCTGCAGTGTGTTCTGTAACTGTCATAAAACACACAATCAGCTCCACAACATGTAAACACACAGTAAAGCTGGTGTGTGCAAGTTCTGATATAAAAGAAAATGTTATTGAGTACGCCGTTGCCATTAATACAATCTATAACATTAACTAGTAGCAAAGTATTCAATTAAGCGACTGTTAAGTTAGGTCTTAATGTTAAGTTATTATGTTATTTTGATTTGTATTGCATATTTTTAAACTAAAAGCACACATAAGCATTCACCATGCAGTTAGTGTTACCTCCTGATGTTGCTGTTTGAGGACCCAGGGTTGTGGTATTTCCAGCAGGGCTGCTGCTTGGAAGGATAGAGACGGCGGTAGAGGCGGAGGTAGATGGAGAGGCTGGGGGTCCTTCTGTGACTGTTGTGCTTATGATATTGGTGGTAGAGACATTTGCGGCAGTCTCAGGAGTAGTGTTAATAGGATTTGTTAGTGAATTAGTGGTTAAATCAGCAGTGGAGCTTGCAGGATGTGTAGAGTCTGTAACCGGACTTGTGGTGTTACCTGGTTGTGTAGTGTCTATAACTGGACCTGTAGTGATAGCTGGTTG